CAGGTGGGCAACTCTTACCTGATGGCTCCCAAGAAGGATCCAAAGGGCACATATTCCTCTGCCCATCAAACCCACAGCCAGTGCTTCAAGTAACACTTAGAAGGAAATGCCTAGGGAAAGCAAGGAAAAGAGCTGGAATCAAAGTACATTTACATGCAGAATAAAGACCAAGGATGCAAAAGGAGTAAAAGCTGAATCACATTTACATTTGGGTTGCATTTATAGACAGGTCAGTTAATAACCCCATTAGGCAATCATTAGGACTAACAAATTACTAGGCAATGCTTACACAACAGTTACACACGATAGCATCTCACAAGCTGCTTGTAATCCTAACACTTTATATGTGCTTGTTGTTCTTACAGCACTGGTACAGCTTGTAACAACTTTATCTAACATACTAATCTTGATGAATTGATGATCAATATACTCCTTGGCTATAAAACAGAGCAGAACTGAAACCCAAATTTATATTCCTCTTTGGCTTCTCATTATTCTATTTCCCTAAGCATAGAAAACAGCAGCAATGCATTTCAGCACAGCTGGCTTTAAAGGCACTGGGGGCTTAGAGCACGACACTCCCAGACTTGGGAAATTCTGGAACGAAAAACTCTATAAAGATTCATCTGCTCAGACCCACTGGGGATTTGCCCCTCTCTGATCCCAGAGAGCTCATTGAAGGCTGCCTAACCCACTTTCTGCACCTGGTCGAGTGATTGATCAGTGACTTGGCGGGGTCGTGGAAGCTTTACTTCCTTTGTTCCATGGGTGTCTGCCACGAAGAGCCAAGCATGGATTAACTGAGTCTAAATCCCCGGGCAGCTCACCAGAGCAATGCTAGTTCTGAAGCAAATGCAGCTCCAAGATGGTTTCAAGACTGGCTTTACAGATCAATTCTTCTTAGGCACAAATAATGCATAATGCCTCATGTCAAGCGCCCGGGAAATCTCTCCCCACAGGCAGCAGTTGCCAGCTCATGTTGGAGCAAAGTGAACTTGGACAATGCAGTTTATTTTGGGCCATCCCCTTCCCCCTCGCCAGCCACGTAGACATCTTTTCACTAGACACTGTGCCCTATTACAGCCATGTGCATGGACATGTTTCATAACGTGCCCATCCAGCACCCGGGATTTCTTTGTTGTGGTGCCAAGCATTTTGTCCTATTAGCTTTCAGGTTGCTGTCATTGGGAGCAATATAAGGAAAACACTATTTTCCAGCATATTCCAATTGCTGATGCAAAGGCAAGGTGCACAAAGCCATGTAGGAGCCACCAGATCCCAAGCACCTGTCTTTAGCAAGTCTCCTTACCCCAAGAACTGGAGGTTGTCTTTAGCTCCCGAGTGAGATACCATCTCTTCCAGACCTCTGGGTTTGGGTGGGGAGAAAGGACTTTGAGCCTAGTTCCTGTGCAATCACCTCAGCAGGTGACATGAGCATTAGTCCAAGTGTTTTTACCTTTTCTCCTTTAAACACCCAGAAAAGAAAAATCTTACTTTTTATATTTTAAAAAGCAATTTGTTTCTTGCCCAGACTTTTTCAACTCAGCATATTCCCACCTTCCTCAAAACTGACAAATCAGCCCAGAGGTGTCTGCTAGCAACAACAGCCCTTAAGTTGCTGCAATAAGATGGCCATTTAATGTCCTGACATCCAAACACCACAGCTGATATTTAAGTGCAGTGCTGGCCCATTGCATGATTTGAAATGAACCTGCTTTAAAATACAATAGTGAAAATAAGCGGTGGCTGGTGTCTTCTTTTGCAAGACACTGTCAAAGGTGATCTAGACTCCAACATCCTCTAATTGTCAGTCTGGCAGCAGGTGCTTCCAACTCTGAAACTCCTTGGGCTCAGAATAATAGAGGTCTTGTATCCAGCAGGACTCCAGGGTGGCTTTTACCTTCTGAGTAATTATTTATATGAGAGTGGTACCTCAAGTCCTGAGAGTGCAGGGCCCTTTGTGCCAGGCACTGAGCAAACGTATAGAAAGGGGCCATCCCTGTTCTGAGGAATTTATGATCTAAATAGACTAGTGGGCTGAGTGGAGGAGAGGGGGCACCAGATATGACCAAATGGGTGAAATTACTCACTCTGAGGTGATGCTATGGATTAACTCTGATGCCAGACAATGCTTCCATCTCTGGAATTTTGCTCGTCTCCTAAATCTCCTCCCTTTCACATACCCCTCTCCCTCCTTCCACTCATCTTTCTTTTGTAAACTTGCACAGTCATCTGCCTCTGCTGTGAGATGAGACAGGGTGAGTTTTCATCACCACCTTCCACTGGGCAGCCCCATGTTGCTCCGTGAAAGAAAAGATGCTGAGGTACCCAATTCCAGGAGAAGTCACTGAGGTATGAAGCCCTAGTAGGCAAGATAAATCCAGTCTGGTCCTCCGAGCAGAGAGGTCAGACCTTTCTGCAGGGAGCACTTGAGGATGGCTAGCTCCAGGCTGCAGCACAGCAAATTTGGATGGCTTATTTGCTGACATCCCTTTTTAACGGATCACAGTTTTTTCCTTCGGGCAAAGTGGATTATCAGATTTGAAGCAGCAGGTCGCAGAGCTGGTGCTCTTTCTGAAAAGGATCAGCTGCACCCAGGTGAGGAACCACTGACCTTGCAACAACTCACCACCAGCCTTAGGAATCTGTCAAACCTGTTTATTCCCAGGATTCTGGTGATGGTGTTTTTTTGGATGGATGCAGACTGACTGACCTATCAAGAAAGGAAAATTATCTTTTGCATGAAATGTTTGCAATCCCAGACTAGTACCACCCAGATCAGCTGCCAAACACAAAATCTAGGGATGGTCTTGGGAGAAAACAGGTGGCATTGGATGCATTTTCTGGTCAACACAACACTCCCAGAAATGGCCAGACCTGGCTGCTTTCAGCAAGGGCTACGTGACACACCCTTCTTCCCAAAGCCACTCCAGCTGATTAAGTCCTGTTCTCTTTTACTTCTTTAGTAAAGAATCAGCAGAAGATTTGCAGTCCTGCATTGCGAATAAGGCATCTGTACACTCCACAGTGGGCTAAAAGAAAAAAAGCAAAGCAAACCCAACTGCTTTCTTGTGCTTATCAGGTGTCTGGATTTTAGAATCACCAAAAGACATTGCACGCTTGTCCTGTATTTTATTAGGAAATTAAAAGGCTGATTGATAACCTGAAATTACATACTGAATCTCTTTTACGAAATCATTACAATTATTTTGATTTCTATAAAACATAATGCCCAGATAAAATTCCTTTTTATGCCTGTAATTTTCTACACACTTAACATTTATTTACTGTACAGCAGTGAGGTTGGATAATTGTAACATAATCTGTAAAGTTAAATACAGCATACTTTGCTCTGCAGTTCCAGTGAAAGAGATGAAATGCTGGAAAGAAAGCCTGGAATAGAAGCAGCAGTATGAGAGGGTTCCCTGCAACCTCTGTTCATTACACATCAGCATTTCAAACTGTTCAGCCATACTCAAGTCTGGTGTTAGCTACTATGCAAAGTTGCCAGGCTTTAGGGCATCAGTTTTCCAGGAGAGGGAGAGACTGCTGTGGGGCACAGGCTCTGCAGTGAGGGAATAGGGTGCACTGGATGTGTATGATGCTCAAAGTGCAAGAGCTGATAAATCTGTCCTCATCTCCTTCTTTTGCCAGCAGTATGGGCTACAGCTTCCACCACCACGTTGGACTAAATAGCTTTCCCTGACCTCAGTCAGCTTTAAAGATGTTCTATGTACAAAGCAGGGCTGATGTGGTACAGGTGCTGACTGTCTGCAAGGGCTGAATTTCAACCATAGCAATCAAAGTCCAAATCCCACTCATTATGTGCACGTAAAAAATCACACTGAGCCAAAACTACTACTGGCTGTATTGCAACCAGCATGTGGGGTGATGTGATCACATCCATGAGTTGTAGCTGAGGCCCTTGGTCCTCTGGCACTTTTCAATACCAAATTACTCTTGCTGGGAATTGAATCTCTCAATATATGATTCAAGAAAATATTCAAACTGTCAGATAAGCTCTCAAGATGAGACATGTTTTCCTGAATTGAGGCCTCTGCTCCTGCAAGGATTAGAGATGATCAGTTAGTGACCAGCTCAAGCACTTGACCAGCAAGTCCAGTCACTTCAGCCTCTTGTACTGTTCTTGGTGACTGTAAGATAAAACGTGGTAGGTTTAAGAAATAGTAGGCCTTGTTTTTAAAAAGCTATTTCAGGACAAGTACATTCAGATCACTGTGTTTTCTATTTATATATAAATTCTTTGGCAACAATTTTCTAGAAAGCAGAATAAATTTTATATGCAATACTTTATTGTTTCCCCATGAAAAACTGATATCTTAAAAAATCTATAGCACTTTCCAGTACAAACAGTATTGTTCCAGATTAAGGACTAGTTCCTCCCTGAAGAAAAACGGGTTTAAAAAAATCTGGTCATTATCTGATAACTGTTTATGTAATAACGTTAAAATAAAACAGAAAAAGAAAATAATTCAGAATGTGGTTTGTCATTCTCTAGAATGTTAGTGTACATTTATACAATAAAAACAACATAAGTTATCCTAGTTCGTTTTAAAACCTTAGTAGTAGAAATATATTGCTATCTGCAGATTCATAAAAGATGCACTTTCTCCATCTAAGTTCAAGTATTATTTGAATATTATTATTACCATTATTATTATTACTATTATGGGGCTCTAAATCCTTGCCATTTTGCCTGTCTTTACATTGTTTTGGTCTTTCTGAGAAATAACGAGCTGTGATCATCTGTTCATGAATAAAATCAATGCAGGGCTGCAGTCAGTTCTGCCTGGTGGAAGACTGCCTGGCAATCCTTCCATGAGTGGCTTTGGAAAAGGTAGATTTGAGAGTAGTGGCATAGATAGAGTAGTCACATGTTTCCTTGGATGGCTAATGATCTTAATTCCTTCCATGTTCTGAACATTCAGTTCCATTTAAAGGAGAAAGGTGGGAAGAACCCAACCCAGACTGATATCACATCAAGATATATCATCTTCATTTATTCTTGGTACTGTCAGTTGCTCATAGGTCGGCAGGGTGTTATTGGGCAGGAAAAGATCCGAGTTGACGTTGTTGCCTCTTTGAGGTGATCTGTTGTTCCCTTGATCCCCCTGCTGACGGGAAACCAGATGATGCAGCATATCCGTAATGAGGTTCAGTTTCTGGTCCATTTGTGTAACCTACAAAGGCAAAGAGAATGTTTGCTTAGTAGCAGCACGTGAGAAAATTGCAACAAACCACGTGATACAAATGCAATATTAAAATTACCATCTTCTTAATCAAGATCACAACAACCTCTATGAAGACACCAGAGTCTCACAGTTCATCAAACAGAGCATTAGAAATTGAAGGCAACAGTTCAGAGTTGGATGAGGACAGGCTTGTTAATGCTTACCTCTGCTATGTGCTTTGACACACATTTTGTACCTGGATGAACACATGACAAATGAGCTTTTAAAGAGATGTGCTGGGATAGAGAAATAAGCCCCAGAACTGAGTTTCTGTGGGGAGTTGTTGGTTGTTTTTTGTTTTGTTTTGTTATGTTATTATAGTGTCAATTTTTAATTTTTTAAAAAAAATTATTAACTTCTAATATGCTTACATGCCTTAATAATGTCAATATGCTCCAGTAAATATCTGCTCTGCTTGCAGTCATCTGATCAACTCTAAGCTAGGACTGACTGCTGCTCTTTGTTACATTTGGGCCCAATTACGAGGTCAGGCCACAAAATATCCACAGCTATTTTTGCTGCTGTGGGTCTATACCAGCTGGGGTCTGTGGCAAGGGCTGGGAGTGGGGCATGACTCTGTTTTACACTCTCACCCCCCAGTGACATGGTGTTCACCAGGATTGCCTTTAGAATGACATGATGCACAGCAAGCCAGAAACCCTTCTAAGATGGGTGAAAGCTAATTATTCAACTGGAACGTTGCAGAGGAAGGATCAGCCTGAATCCATAATGCTGATTTTCTTCTGCCTTTAGATAGATGGCTCCTTAAATAATTTATTTTTGTGTGTGTGGTTTTGTGTTTGGTTTTGTTTGTTTGTTTGTTTTTTTCTTCCCCCTTTTCTTCTTCTGTTTTTTATTCTGATCTTTAAGAGAAAATACAATGAAGAATCAGGTTACCAAATAAAGGCCAGGTTATTGATTTGTCCAAAATCTAGACTGTATTTGATGCACATTTATGGTACTCAAGAGGAAAATCAAGAACAAAATGTTTCTAGGAGCATCATAGATTCAGCCTTTAATTTCTTGCATTTTCCAGTCAAGAAGGAACCTCTATCCTTTTATCTGGCATGGGAAGATGCCTCTATGTGCTGACTCCAGTGTGAGTGAGGTGTCCCAAGGGACAACAGGGACTTCCAGCTTCAAAGTTCTGCCCACTTGCTGCCCCTTGGCATGCCAAACATTGAGGTTGGGCAGTAAGAGTCTGCCTTAAGACCTTCTACAAGCATGACAAGAAAGCCCCAATGTTGCCATTGTAGTCACTGACCCATCAGTCTGGAGTGATCCTAACACACTATGGAAACTGTAGGCAAAAAGATGTAAAACATTTTTAAAAGGGCAAAGAAAGCAAGCAGACAAAAAATGTGATAGGAATAAATTGCTGTCTAAAATATCTGTTAGAAAGTAGTGAAAGGCCCATAAAACCGCCAGAGAGAGCATGAGTGGGAGCAATTTATATGTGCCTGGCTATCATCCAAGTATCACACAGGATAGTAAAAGACAGTAAGGCTGAGCAGAACATTAACAAACCTGGAGGATTTCAGTAGAGACTAAAATGTTTTTCCACTGTAGAGAAAATGCTGGATTTTTTCAAACGCTTTGTACAACTGGTAGAGCAGCAGATAGAGTGATTTAAATATATGAGGTGCCAGAGATTTATACTTTGCAGCTGCTTTTGAAAACATTAGGAAAAGCACCCTAGATGGTAAATGAAACACTAGTAATTCTGGATGGAAATGGCTGTTGAAAGACGAGATTCTTCAAATGAGAAAGCTGAAGAACACATAAGTTCAAGATTTCTAGAAGGAAATACAGATGGAAAATAGAGCAGATCATCAGGTTTTAATTTCATCACTAGTTTTTCACTCCCTTAAAAAAAGGTAAGTTTTGCCCAAATGGTTCCCATCACAGATGGCAAACTCATGATGCTCCAGGCGTGACAGTACAAACCAACGTTAGCGGAGCCTGCAAAAATATCTCCTTCCTCTATCCCCCACTGCCCAAGTATCACTTGCTTTCAGAGACAGCTGTGTTGGAAGGACTGTAGTGGAAGACTGCAGACAAACAGCTATCTTCAGGGTACAAAGGACAACTTTTCCTCTAATAAGAAATGTCTTCTTGCTAGTGATTCTGAACTAGCATGGGGATTTTATATATATACTTCTTAATTTGTGATTCCAGTCAGGGATTACCAGAGGAAGCACAGACTGAGGATATATCTGGGAAATGTGCATTTATGAAACCCTTGCAGTGATGAGCTATTGAAGATGACACTAGATTGGACTGAGATCTGGCTAGTCCTTCAACAGCTGTGCATCTTGGTGATGAAGTACTGGAGAAGTGAGATGTGAATATTCTTTCTGGGAAATCAATTCCCAGAGATAATTGTCTAATTTTTTCAAGGGAACAAGATTTGGCTGCTGCAGCTGTGGAGTGCAGAAGGCCCACAGAAGCAGAGGCAGAAGCTAATTGCTATTGAGCTGAGCCATATGAGATAAAAAATGAAAACCTTCCTCTTCCATGTTCCTGCTTGTTAGGGTAGGGCTGTAAAGCCACAAAGCTTTTGTGGAGGGAAGTCCAGATAGCTGGTTGTGTTTAGTTGTTGCTTAATTAGTTTTGCTTGCGAAAATAGCAAGACATTTCCCAGGGAGTTCTGTGCCCGTGAAGGGCTTGCTCCAAGACAAGCTGAAGTCAGTGGTAGTTTTTGGCAACCACAGACTTCCAGTGACTTCTGCAGGCTCTGGATCAATCCTGGACTGAATCGACAATCCCAAATAGTAACATCTTCTTTGGATATTACAAGAGAAGGAGCAGCCTGGATTGCTGTCCATTGCTCTGTTTGTGCCTCTTGGGGATGTAGCAGAAAAGATGACATTTGCAAATGAGATGCAATGGGATGATAGGCCCCTCTTTGCAGTTCCACCAAAGGGTGTCTGTTTAAGGCATAAGACATTTTAAAGAAAGAAGTAAAAGCTACCAGAAGGGAACTTCTACTGTTATTACAGGCCTGTGATGTACAAGAGTAAGAGCCTTGCTGGAGAGCAGCCTTGCTTATTAGAACACTCAGTCTGTCGTTATCCAAACACAAATCCTAGAATACATTGTTCACTTGTTTGCTGCAGAGATAATTACACCCACTAGAAAAATGTCATTGTGGGCAATATCCTTTTTATTAAACTCACTTTATACACTTACTATGGAGAAGTGTATCATCTCTCCTGAACCATACTTTCAAACACATTTACTTGATTAAAAATTAGCTACGATGCCAGAAGGAATGGAAGTAAAACAAACAGAAAAACTGCTGATGCTGCTATAATCTTAACTGCTTTGGACAACTCTGATCCCTCTACTTGAAACAGCAAACAGTGTTAATTACATAGAAAAATAACTCAGACTGATTTGTTTCTTTTAGGAAAAACTAAGTAAGCTCTTTCTAGCTGATTTATGTTTCATTAGAAGCATGATGTTTGGATGATCAAATTCTTTATATGCAAATAATTTCCTCTGTATTTTACAGTTGCTGGGGAGAAGAAGCAGTATTTGAAACTTTAGAAATTATACACCAGTTACTCCTAAGTATTACTGAAATATTGTATGAAAACAAGATTTTTCTGTTTTTTTAAAAAAAAACAGATCCAAGGATCATAGACTGAGAACAGATGGACAGAAGCAGATTTAAACAAGTTCTGAACCCAGCTTTTGGAAATGAATAAAACAATCCCATCCATGAGAAAAAAGAGAGAGAAAAAAAGAGTGAAAAAAACAAATCCCAAATGGTTCTTCAGAGAGGCCAAAAGATTAGAGCACAAAGCTGAAACTGCACATCATGAAGAAATGTAGTTATGTTACAGAATAGATTTTTGCTCTCCCTAAAAAGTCCCAGAAGCATGTGAGCACTCTGACTAGTGGTGATGATGTAGTTCCCGTGAACCACAAGGCTCTCTTAGGTTCTGTTTTCAGGAGCAGCAGTCCTCTACAGCTGGATATCAAGTGACATGTCATGACAGCTTTTATAAAGGTATCAAAGGCATTCCAGGAGGCACTAGTGACCAGAGGCTGTTCTTGGGATGAGAGAAGAACAAAAAACGAGCAATTTATCTATTAGAATTCCACATTATATTAATTTTAAATGCCATTAATTAATGCCATTAATTAATTTAAATGCCATTATAATAATTTTAAATGCCAATGTAAAGCATTTATAACAAATGGTTGGTATGAGTCAGAACATAAAATTTAACGATGAATTTCTTTCTTTGACTAAAAAAAACAACAACCCAGCAACAAAACAACAAAGAAGCCTGAGTGACTCAGTGACATCTGGAAGAAAGTCTCCTTTATGAGCCCCTGTAATGGAGAACTGAAGAGTAGCACTCTGGAGACCCACTCCCAAAATTAATTCTAGGATTTGCTGGGAAGGAGCAAGGACAGATGGAATTTTGGCGTTGAGGTGAATGGTATTTTCAGCCATGGGTATTCAGAATAGTGGGGAACCTGAAGGACAAAATTTGGAGTAATTGGCACAATTTAGGCCACAGAGACTGCAAATGGCTAATAAGTTACACTAAGATCTGGAGGGACCAAGGTTGATTAAGACTGTCAAAACTGTCCCATCTGCCCTTCATTCTCATTCTCAGAAATTTCAAAAGTAAACATTATTAAGGGTAAAAATTATAGTCCCTTTGGACAGAGTGGTGGTTTATAACTACCTATGTTCTTAACAGGGTTGACTTATTAAACAAATTATGCTCTATCTAGAGATTTTTTATCAGCACAGTGCTCAGTGGGTTCAGGGAGGCTGTGCTTCTTCTTGCAACACTTGGCTGAACGACAATGTGATAAAGGAAAATTTCAGCTATTTTTCCAACATTTGATTCCCAAGTCTGCTGCCCTGACTTTTTGGACAGATTGGAGGGCTGGGCAAAGAGAAACCTAATGAGATTCAACAA